TGAGCAAAAGAACTCAATATCAGTGATAGAGCATATATATATATATATATATATATATATATATATATATATTAAAACATATATTGTAAAATATAACAGACAACAAATGTCTATTATGTTTGATCATGAGCCATTCTAAGCTTTGTATAGTGGCTTTAGTTTCAGGAATAAAGAAAGACAAAAATTGTCCAACATTTGAATATTTTTTTATTATGCTGTTCCTTGATCTAAGCTCACATCATAGAACTGCATTACAAATTTACAAGCTGTGTCTGCTATTCCATCACCATTATCATTGCATAGCAAACTACTATATAAACATAACATGATGTTTTCTTTCATGATGAACATGTTGCAATGTCCATATAACCATTCTGATGATGGCTCATGTGAGCTAAAAGCTTAGATTGAGGAACAGCATAATAAAAAAAATATCCAAATGTTGGACAGTTTTTGTCTTTATTTTCTGCCAAAACTGAAGCCACTATACAAAGCTTAGAATGGCTCATGATCAAACATAACAGACATTTGTTGTCTGTTATATTTAAGAATATATGCTTGAATAATGACCTGCTGCCCCAATAATATATATATATATATATATATTTGGTTGGATAGATGTGAGTTTGTGACCCTGGGTTTCACGCTTTAGCGATCGTCAGACAAACTGATTACTGTTTTAAAAATTTGGGTTTATGTAGATTGCGTGTATTGGTGTTATTGTGGAAGTGGTGGGGAGATTTCGTCGTTTTGTCATTCATCATTACTAACGCAAACATCGATGTATGCAGACACATATACATATACATACTTGGTCGTCCGTCGGGACTCATACATATATATAAACATATGTAGACAGTTTCGGCTATGACACATGTATGTATACGGGTGGTGTTATGTCTATACATACGCATTTGTATGTTGAAATGTTGAAATTTAAACATTGGAAGTGTATGAAATGTCTCGTTATTGTCTCGTGAATGTATCCATGTCATATTATGAAATTTTTTTTTTTTTTTTTTTCCGTTGAAAAATATTTGAAAAATATTTTCTCGCATGTATGTATATATGTGTGGTGGGGTTTGTGTAAAATTATGATAGGTAAAAATTATTATTAAATTATTTATATTTATTTTTAAATTTTTGAAAAAAATGGGGGTTTATTTGTTATATTTAAAGCTGGTTATTTGTTTGTTTTTGGTGACTGTGTATATGTAACAGGTAAAAAATTGTAATCCTTATTGTTTAATTTATATGGTGATGTTTAATTTAATAACGGGTTTATATGATATGATGTGATAGTAATGTTTCAAAGGATTGGAGACAATGCTATTTAGGTTTTAGCTAATAGTTATTGTAAACTGGAAGAAATTGCAGATTGGTAGAAATGATTAGTAACGGTGGTGGGAGAATGATAAAACCATGAATGTAGTTATAGTGGTGGTAGCTTGAACTAAAAAGTGGTTGTTGGTGTTTTATTTTTTGTTTTATTTTGTTATATGTATTAATTTATTTTGGTATAAATCCTGATAATAGGTATTCTATGTAAAATTATGGTAGTTGAAGATTGCTATAATTTTTAATTACAAAATTATTATTATTATATTAAAGCTGCCTGGTAATAGGTGTTTGTTCTCATGGTTACATATGGAAATTATATCTGATCATATTGTTTTAAAGTATTAAATATGCTGGGGGGGTAATAAAAGATTGTAGTGGATTATATGTTAATAGTGGGTGTGATGTGTAAGTGATGGTGCTGTGTAGGTGGTAATGATAATATTGATAGTTAATAGATATTGTAAGGTGGTAAAAGTGATTACTAATGGTGGTGCAATTATAATAATGATAGGTGCAATTATTTTGATGGTATCTTGAAATTAAATTGTGATTGTTGGTGGTTTGTCTGTTTTATCCGTTTGGTATGAATTCGGATAATAGATACTTGTTCTCATTCAGACTAATTAACCCGGCGAAGAGCGAGATAGGAAAAATTAGTAAGAAGATATTAGAAAATATCAACACCAACCTAAGGGAAAAATTAAGTCTCAACCAGTGGAAGAACACCAAAGCCGTCATAGAGTGGTTTAAATCAATAGACAACAAGAACAAATCCACTTTCATCCAATTTGACATTGTGGATTTTTACCCTTCCATTACAGAAAGCATATTAAATGAAGCCATACAACTGGCACAGCTAAATGTAAAACTCACGGACGGTGATATAAAATAATCAACATTGCCGCAAATCCCTGCTGTTCCACAACAATGAACCATGGGCAAAGACACAAAACCACAACCTGTTTGACGTAACAATGGGTAGCTACGATGGAGCAGAAATATGCGAATTAGTAGGCATACTCATCCTATCATACCTGGCCAGAATCCTGAGAGAAAGGACACAGGATTATACAGAGATGACGGTCTTATCTTAATAAGGGAATCCAATGGCCCCAAAGTAGACAAATTCAGGAAGAAAATAGTGAACGCCCTAAAAAACATTGGATTCATAATAGAGATAAATACAGGCACAACTATAGTAAACTTCCTTGACGTCACTCTTAACCTGATCAACAACACATATGAACCATACAAAAAGAAAAATGACACACCAACTTACGTACACATCCTCCAACCATCCACCTTCTATCATCAAACAAATACCAAAGTCAATCAGCCGCAGACTATCTGAGAACTCATCTAACATGCAAATTTTCAATAGCAAAATAGCACCATACAACGAAGCACTAAAAGCAAGTGGTTTACACAACAACTACAATATATACCTCCACAGCCAAAACGCAGAAACAGAAAGAGAAACATTATCTGGTTTAACCCACCATATAACAAAACTGTTAAAACGAACATAGGCAAAATATTCCTAAACTTAATAGAAAAACACTTCACTGAAGAAAACAAATTATCAAAAATATTTAACAAAAATAACGTAAAGATCAGTTACAGCTGTACAAAAAACATAACAGATATAATCAAAAACCACAACAAAAAAATGACAACCTACAAAAATGTAACCAAGGATCCTATATGCAACTGCAGAAACAGAGCAACATGTCCACTCCAGGGAAATTGCCAAATTACGAACACAATATACAAGGCCAAGGTAAGTACAAACAACAACACTATGCACTACATCGGTGCCACCGAAGGTCCATTCAAGATGAGGAATAACAATCACAACCTTTCATTCAACAACAGGAAATATTCGAACAGCACAACACTTTCTACATACATATGGCAGCAAAAAGACAAAAAACATCACACCAACAATAAGTTGGGAAATATTGAAAAAAGCCCCTGCCTACAACAACATTACGAAAAAATGCCTACTTTGCCTACACGAAAAAGTAGCAATAATATCACACAAACCGCAAAAGAACTTGCTAAACAAAAAATCAGAGATAATCGCCAAATGTAGGCATGAGAACAAGTATCTATTATCCGAATTCATACCAAACGGATAAAACAGACAAACCACCAACAATCACAATTTAATTTCAAGATACCATCAAAATAATTGCACCTATCATTATTATAATTGCACCACCATTAGTAATCACTTTTACCACCTTACAATATCTATTAACTATCAATATTATCATTACCACCTACACACAGCACCATCACTTACACATCACACCCACTATTAACATATAATCCACTACAATCTTTATTACCCCCCAGCATATTTAATACTTTAAAACAATATGATCAGATATAATTTCCATATGTAACCATGAGAACAAACACCTATTACCAGGCAGCTTTAATATAATAATAATAATTTTGTAATTAAAAATTATAGCAATCTTCAACTACCATAATTTTACATAGAATACCTATTATCAGGATTTATACCAAAATAAATTAATACATATAACAAAATAAAACAAAAATAAAACACCAACAACCACTTTTTAGTTCAAGCTACCACCACTATAACTACATTCATGGTTTTATCATTCTCCCACCACCGTTACTAATCATTTCTACCAATCTGCAATTTCTTCCAGTTTACAATAACTATTAGCTAAAACCTAAATAGCATTGTCTCCAATCCTTTGAAACATTACTATCACATCATATCATATAAACCCGTTATTAAATTAAACATCACCATATAAATTAAACAATAAGGATTACAATTTTTACCTGTTACATATACACAGTCACCAAAAAACAAACAAATAACCAGCTTTAAATATAACAAATAAACCCCATTTTTTTTCAAAAATTTAAAAATAAATATAAATAATTTAATAATAATTTTACCTATCATAATTTTACACAAACCCCACCACACATATATATATACATGAGAGAAAATATTTTTCAAATATTTTTCAACGGAAAAAAAAAAAAAAAAAAATTTCATAATATGACATGGATACATTCACGAGACAATAACGAGACATTTTCCCACTTCCAATGTTTAAATTTCAACATTTCAACATACAAATGCGTATGTATAGACATAACACCACCCGTATACATACATGTGTCATAGCCGAAACTGTCTACATATGTTTTTATATATGTATGAGTCCCGACGGACGACCAAGTATGTATATGTATATGTGTCTGCATACATCGATGTTTGCGTTAGTACGATGAATGACAAAACGACGAAATCTCCCCACCACTTCCACAATAACACCAATACACGCAATCTACATAAACCCAAATTTTTAAAACAGTAATCAGTTTGTCTGACGATCGCTAAAGCGTGAAACCCAGGGTCACAAACTCACATCTATCCAACCAAATATGTTAGCTCTATCTCTGATATTGAGCGCTTTCTAATAAGTACCCTATATATAATATATAAATAATTATACATATATATATTTATTTATATTTATATTCACTTTTCATATATATATATATATATATATATATATATAACTTTGGACATTTTCTCTGATTTATATTACTTTCATCTCATTCCTTGCTTCTGTCATTAATATCTTTACTTTTAAATCATGACTTTCAATAAATCAGTTCTTTCTCTTCATTTCTGTTTCTTCTATTCCCTTTTCTGTTTTCTATCTGATCCGTTTATTTCTCTCTTCTCTCTTTTAAAATGACCTTGTATTTTTTTCAGTCTTTTTAGCTGCTTTATTTTTTCTCTTTTTTCCCTTCCACCTTCAGTTACTTTCTTTTCCTCTCATCTTTTTTATCCTCTCATTTACTCTCTATTTGATTTTTTCCCTCATGTTTTCTTGTCACTCTTTGTCTTCTTTTTCACTTATCTTCTTTCTCTCTGTCTTCCTCTTTCCTTCTCCCTCTTTGTCTTTTGCTCTCTTTCTCTTTCTTTCGTTGTTCTTCTTTATCTTCTGGCCATTATTTTTTCACCTCCCTCTTTTTTTATCCTTATCACCTTTTCTCTTTCTTTCACTTTTTCTCTCTTTCTCTCACTTCCTCTTTATCACTCTCTCTTCTTCTCTCAACCAGATCTCTAATCACACTCAGTTTTTCAATTCACTCTTCTCCATTTGTCAACTTACTATTTCTTCATCAGACCAAAGATGCTGTTATTTCCTTCTTCCCTTCCTTTCTAATCTATCTACTTATATATTTATCTCTCATCTCTATTCCTTCACATACACAGTTATCTCCCTTTCTTTCCATTTTCTTTGTCTCTTTTACCTTTCTTTTCTCTTGTCTTTTCTTCCTTCATCCTACCCACCTCCTTCCTTCATCAGTCTGTGCATGTTCCTGCATACTTGAAAATCTTTCAAGACAATCATGTAATCAGCAATACAGGAAAACCAAAGACGATTGGTGCCACACTGATTGGCATGAAACGTGAGTGGAAGCGGATTTTCTGAGATAATCCCCATGGAATGGTCCATTCTCACAGTCTTGCCAGTTCCTTCTTTTGACCCCTTGTCTCTCACTTGCCCCCTTGTATTCTTCTCATTCTGGTGATTACGCAGGCCGGCCACTATGTAGCTTGTCCTAGCTGCCACTGATCCCCTACTTAGGCCAATACTGACCACTGGTCAGTGATAATGTGTGTACTTGCATTTTATTCAGGAGATATTTCTGCTTGGCGTTGATCTCAGAAAGGTTATCCCTGAAATGGTGGGTGAATATGAAGAATAATGCCCTATCCAACTCTTTCCTTCCGGTGTAACTTCTTTGTCACGTTAAAATCGGAGTGTGTCTCTGTTTTGTTTATATATGTGTGAGTATGTTTGTGTTTGATGAATTTGTGTGTGTATATATATATATATATATATATATATATATATATATAAATGCACATTTTTGTGTGTGTGTATGGGCATTTGGCAAGCATGTGTATGTACATTTTGTTTATGTGACTAAATCTTTATGAAAAATGTTTTACAAAATTTGAAAAATGAAAATTGATATTTTCTTTAGTCAGGATGTAAGCAATCGTGAGTCTTTACAGTTTCCTTTTTAATATCTTTAAGCTGTGCATTTCTATGTTTTGTTCTTTACAAACAATGATATGGTTTACTATTGCCTTCTACATGGTTTGAGTTAGGAGTTTATCATCTCCTAAACAGGTTATCAACCAAGGCAAGCTCAATGTGCCCTGATATTTAACTCATATATAGAAGAAGAAGGAGAGATGAAGTCATGCATTAGTGCTAATTAGACATAAACCGTTTCAACAGAATTTGAACTCATCTGTTGTTCTATATGCCATGTCCTTTCAAGACGTGAGTGATCACGGTTCTCCATATCTTCCTATCATTTGTAGCACTAAGTAATGTTTGTTCTCTTACTATCTGTTAGCTCTTGTTCTGCCATCCATTTACACAAGTTTGATAGGTAGATTACTTGATGCTTCATTCTGCTCCTAATATGTCCTATGAGTATCAATTTCTTCAAGCCATCTTTCCTCATTATATACCTGAGAAATTTTAACTCTCTCTTTCTGATTTTAATTACAAGTTTTTAAATTCTGTCAAGAATCTCTAGGTGTATCCTAAAAGCACCAGACCAGATGTGGCAGCAATATTTGATGCACAGATTTTTCATAAAACTTCTTTTTTTACATGTTCCATCCGTGATATTTTCAGCATCCTTCTCTAGAAAGACATCTCTGCTGGCTTAAGTCTCTTATTTGCTCATGAGGAGATTGTCCAACATTGACTGCCATTTCGGAGGATTGATGTTACATAGCAGTTTAGTACTCTTTTTTTATTTCTAATGAAATTTTCCTTTTTCTTAATAATTTGCTTAATTTTTGGAAGGCATCTTTCCTTATTCCAAACCACTTTCACCAAGTTTCCACACTGATAAATATTAATCTACTTGTATCCTTATAATAGTCGTTATAAAAATAGTTGCTTGTAATTTTAATTCATTTCCATTTTGCTGTTTTTCAATTGTTGTATCCTTAAAGAGATTACAAACAGACAAAGGTGGTACTCAAGTATTGAAGTCACACTCTTTGGGTCCTGTCACTGGATCTAACTAACGTCTTTATCCACTGTACCATGTGTCTTCAAGGTGGTGGAGAACTTGGAGAGGAGAATTAACAGTAGATAACTGACATCCATTAGACATTGCATGTGGAACTAGAACAGTCTACCCCAGCGGCGAAATAAAGGGTTCAGTTTGACATTCCAACCACCTGAAGAAGGCCAGAGCATACAACGGCTGAAACATTGTGATAAATATGGCAACAAAGATGAGGATGATAGTCCGAGTAATGTAAATAGTTTACATCATACCTCATCTCAGAAATATAGACAGATACAGAATGTATGGTCATCAGCTAAAGAATAAGATTTTTTTTTTAAAGCAATTCACCCCAAGCAAGGTAGAAGTGCCACTAAGCACTGAGAACAAGAGTAAAGAGACATGTTTGAGGAAAGGATACAGAGAAGGACAAGGAACAAGCTCAGGGTGTTAAATGTCAATTGACATTACATTTGAATATTTGAAGATTATAGTCATCAGGGAAACAAGTAAGGAGAAGGGAGTTTCACATATGGGAAGTGTGAGAGAAGAAGCTGTTTGAGTTGAAGAAATGGTTACATTTAACTGTTTTAACAGTGAAAGAATGGGACCAAAATGCCAGCCTGCTAGCTAACTTAAATTCATGCAGTCTGGGAACCAGCAAAAGTAGCTCGTCAGAACAGTTGCCATGAAAATACTTGTAAAAGTGACAGAGGGAAGTCATGGCATGTCTGTGGGATAGCGATGTAGACTAGATGCCATATCAGGATCTATCATCTTGCATATTCGTTTCTGGATTTTGATGAGGACCATTTCCAAAAGATAAGCAAGATGCTGAGAAATGGAAGAATTTAATTAAAATAAAAAAAGTGTGTTGGATTGCTATATGATAGACATCCTGTCATATGATAGTGAATGCTAAGCAATCTCCCCATGGATGAAAAAAAACTGGAAGCAGCAGAAATGTGGTTCTACAGAAGAAAACTGAAAATTCCATGGACAAAGCAAGTCGGCAACAAGGAGGTCTAAAAGAACAATGGCATCAGAAAGAACACTTCTACTCAGAATCACAAAATTAAAGCTGAAATTCCTTCAACTCATAATGAGGAAGAAGGACTTGGAAAACTTTATCCCCACTGGGAATATTGAAAAGAGAGACAGGGAAGGCAACAATACAATTACACCTTAAGCTTGTGTAAATTGATGAAAGAATGGCAAAAGGAGAAAATAATACTAAGAGATAGGAAGTTGTGAAGAGCCATGATCACCTATGTTCTGAAGGGATGTGGCAAATAGAAGAACAGATAAACAGGGTTTAAAATTTTCTGCCAAGACTCTATCTCTGAAAATAAACCAATTCTTTTGATGTAATTATGTAATAAATTATTCCTTGAATTATCTAGAATCTCAAAGACGGTATTTTTTTTCTTTTTACTATTATTCACCCAAAACAAGTCCTAAATGCCACTCAATCACTGAGCATTGTTTCCTCATGCCAATTTTCTTTACACTTCACTGGCAATGTTCAACTATCCTGTTACTGAAGGGAACATGTGCACAGTGAAATGGATATAGATTCCCCACCCATCTAGAAAGTCCTTGAATGGTTTCCTATAGAAAGGAGTGTTATTGTCAGTGAGAAGTTCAGCAGGAGGTCCTCGTTCAAAAAATAGGACTTTTAAATGTTTGATGACACTGGCTGAATATTGTTGATGCAGTTGTCACCAGATTGTAAATTGAGTTATTCCAGAGTCATCATAATGAGTCATGTCCATCCCAACCTGGGTTCACACACTGCTAATGTCAAACTTTCTTCTTGGCCATCATACTGGTGATGGGTCAATGGACTGACACATTCTATATTCTCTGACAATGACCCTAGATCAATTTGCCTTGTGAAGTACAGGGTCCTTTTAATGCCAGGATACTTACTTTGACAGTGTATTGACCTTATTTTGTTCAAGCTGCACAGTAGAGTTTCACCAGTTCCATCTTTCTCACTGCATCGAGCCATTTCTGTGGTACCCTCGTCAGCTTGTCTGCTAGTTTCTGGTTGCATTTCAGCAGCTTTTTGCCCACTAATAAGTCATATTCAATGACCAAGTTTCCAAGGTGTTGCACCTCCTCCAAATGAGCATCTTGCTTGAGTCCTTTATGTGTAACCTGATGTCTCCAGTGAGTGTGTCAGATAACCATCCATAAACTCATGCAGGGTCTATGAATAAGGGAAACTTTTTGCCTTCCATTGAAGTGCCACATTAACACTCCTGAGTACAGTGTCCAACTAAGCTACGTTTATATGCTGAATATCTTTTTTGCGATGCAACCACATGCATCCTCCACTACTTCCCTATTTACCTCAATAGACACTCCAGTTGTAAGGGAGCTTGCATCAAACCATACTTCAATCTCATGTCCATTGTCACACCACTTGTCTTGCACAGGGTCATTTTGGAATACTCTTGTCATGAGGTCTATAATCATGTTGTTCAGGGGTGTCTGTTACTTCATCATCCCAGCCGGACATAACATCAATTACTCTGCATTTGATGAAGGTGGTCACAATACAAAGCCAGCTGTCTTACTAATTTTTTGCATCATAAAAATATTTTTCACTGAGTCAAAGCTTCAGATCCTTTCAGTAATTCACACCCCTGCTTCCAGTAGAAGGTGTTCTGCTCCCCCCAAACTTGCAATCTGATCACTTGGTGTTTTCTTCCAATCATTCTGGGTCTTTGCCTGTCAATCTAAAATCAGTGAGATGTCTTACCTGTGTTGCAGATGACATCTTCATTGTCATAAATGTCATCAATATAGGCTGAAGTGACCTGGAGAATGGATTCATTTTTTGCCAGGACAGTATCCACAATGGCTTTCATGATAGGCTGAGCCATATTAAGCCAGAATCCCATTCTTGTCTGGCAGTACCTTTACATTTTACCATTTACATTTTCCCCACCATTCTATCAATTTTTTGGCACAAACATCTGCATGGGCCATGTATACATCAATATGCTCGTATAGTGCATGGCAATCCAACACCATGTGGAACTTTCCTTTGAACCACCATCATTAATGGGATCAGGCCCCTTGGGTGACCAAGTTCTTTTTTGGGGTAAGGTATCGGCCACTTGTTGACTATCCATGCCTGTAGTTTATACTGATACTCATTCCATGCCTGCTTAAACACAGGGTACTCAGATACCCAGTTTTTTAGATATTCTGGTGGGTGGCCATCTGAACACTTCCATGATGCTGTACATGTCCTGGTACATTGGTCGAATAGT